ATGGATATGGCGCGCACTTGAATGCCCACACACACACACACCCACACACACGAATACTTGTGCAGTTAGTGCAAAATATTCGCGCCCGCTAGTTGAGCACTGCTATTTTTTTTTTATTATTATTTTTTTTTTTTTCACTGTGTGCAGCTACCCCAAATGCCACATAGAGCGCGTTGCTACAAAATAGTTATCAGACAACTCACACACAAACACACGCACACACACACACGTATATACAAGGGCAGACACATAACAAGCCACACACACAAACATACACACACACTCACACAGCAAAATTAAATTGAGCGTATTTTGGTAAAAAAGTTTGTAATTCTTGTTTGTTTTTTACATCAGCTATTTGTACCTTTTTAAATTGCGCGCAAATGCCACAAAAAATGCTTACACAAATACTATAGTATTCATATAGACATATACTTATATATCTATATACATATCTATCTCCTCCTATCCTCTCTCGTTACGTTGCACAAATGGCTGCCAAAAAGCAGCATCTAAATAGAATTTTATTAAAATCGCTTGCATACAATCGAACCAAAAATAAATAAATAACAAGTAAAAAACATGCAAACAGGTGTTGACGACTGCAGATTACCCATTCACGACTCATAAATCTTGGAAAGATTCTTCTTTTGATTTGCCATGGACAACATTTGTTTCTATATATTTATACAGAAGATATAGATATCTTAATGATTGTGAGCTGACTCTCTAGCACTTTAGCTACCATGATTTCTCACTTAATGATCTGCCACGCCCATAGCGAGCTGATCTAGAAAATCTTGACATATAAATCTTTAAATATTCCAAATATATAATCTCCATCTGCAATAGAATTTTCAATAGAGTTTTCAACTTTAAGAAGGACTTTTCACAAAACCAATATGCCCATTTCACTTTCGCGAATGTGTAGAACAAGCAACCGATGTAAAGTTGTTACAGTTTACAACTAACTGCCCTTTCGACTGCCAGCGAACGGCAGAGGGCGCTCTATTCGCTGCAATTTTTCGTGTTCCATTGACCCGCATGGGCTTGCGGCAACGGAAATTGGATGGACAGCGCGAAATAAAGCATACAAAATGCTCGTCAATAACATGCAACAACTAGTTACAACAAAAGCCAATTTAAAGTTGGTTGCTAAAAAGAGAAAAACACAAAAAGACAAAAAAAAAGGAACAGCCGGAAAAGATAAATAAAAAATACAAAAGTAAAAGCAAAAAGGGGAGGGAGAAAAAATCAATTTTTGCAAGCGGCTTTTGTATTTGAATTTTCTCGTTCACAATTACAAGCAGCTGCCTCTGGCCCAGCCCCAGCCCCTTCCCCTGCCCCACTCTCTGCATCTACCTGCATTTTAGACAGTTTGCATATGCGTGCAGCTGTCGAGAGATTCAGCGATAAGCGCACAACTCACACTCCATACGGGTGGGGCCGCTGGGGCGAATGCCAAGAATGGCTCAACATATCGGCGCGCAAATAAGTATGCTACAATTTCTGCATTGGCAGCCAGAGACAGACGGAAAGGAAAGGATTCGCGCTGCCTACCTACGTGCGCCTGCCTGTTGGCAGCTTGGCCAGGACATGTAGTTAGCATAAATTTGCCATAAATTTGCTAACAAGTGATTTGTGGCTGTGCGCAGCGCACAGACTCCAGCCAGAGCCCCCACCCGCCCGGACGTACCGCTGACACCCCTAACAAACAGCGCCCCCAGCCAACGTTTGGCCATAAATTAAATGCTGATTTTTTATTTTTGCAGGCGCATTTTTTTTATTTTGGTGCTGCGTATATTTTTTTTATTTTTGTGTATATTTTGTAAAAAAAGGTAAAATGTAAACAATTATCTGCGCTCTCGCAGCTGCAGCACACACACACATACGCACACAACCGCAGCAGCCGCAATAGCACACACCACACACGCACACCAAACACACACACACACACTCAAATGACAGCCAGCTGAGATTTATGCGCCACGCACACACATGGCAAACATGACCAGTTACGCACACACACACACACTCATACATACACACGCACTCACAACCACAGAGACACTTTGGCAAAGGAATTCGTATGCTTTTGATTAATTGCCGCAACATTTTATACATATATTCCAATGTTTTTTCTTCTCTCTTTACTTTTTTCGAGCGCTTTGTGTATTTTTCTTTTGGCTTGCAACTTGGCTGAGATGGGCAGACACATTTTTGTTCGTGATGGCTTCACTGCTGCCACAGCAGCAGCAGCAGCAGCAGCAGCAGGAGCAGCAGGAGACGCAGCCACATCCTCACATTCCGCTTTACGCTTTTTGCAACATTTTGCCTTAGCTCTGCGTACGGTTCAGAGTTTATTTGCCGACACGTCGCAGCTAGACCCAACTACACAGCCATCATAAATATCATAAAAAATAAGAGTGAAGTAGAAGAGCCACCCGAGCTGTAAAGAAGGCCAAGAGAGAGATGGATGTATGACAGCAGCTCAGCTCAGCTGAACTGAACTCAGCTCGCTTCAGTTTTTCCATGTTCACAATTTATGCAGCTCTCTCGTTTTTATTGAATAGATGTATTGATTATATAAACCTATTGCGAAATCACGATAAAAAATGACTTTCGAGGCTCGAAAACAATTCAATTTCAAATATGCTCGCGCATTAAATATGCTGTGAATAATTTAACAAAAAATAAGTGAAAAATTCAGGCAAAAACATTTTAAGCGCCTAAAGAAGTCAGAGTCAAGGATAGAATTTTTACACAAAATAAATATACCTAGCCGATATTTTTCAGCGTGTTGTTGTTGTTGTAGCTGTTGTAATTCCTGGAAATTTCCTACATAGCAGCTGTCATATATTTTTATTTCATTTCATTTGTGGCGCATTGCGTATACGCCGCATTGTACATTTCAATAGCAATTTTAGCGAGTGGTTTTTATATTCTTCGTCTCCCTCCCTCCTTCTCTCACTGCTTCTCTCTCTCACTCTTTCTGGTGCTGCCAATTGCTGACGATTTAACAATTTACTTTGTAGTTAATTTCAACATTTGTTCCTGCTGGCGCCTCGTCTACTGCGTGTCAATATTGGCCTCAAAGCTCTTTCCTTGCCATTATTCGTTATTTTCTGTTCTTCTCCTCTTTCTGAGCCAATAAATACAATTTCTCTATCAATTGCGTATTGATTGATACACGCGCGCACTTTGGGCTGTACAAAAAGTGGGATAAACTGCAGAAACAGCATTCTAATATGAAAGCGAGAACCCTTGTGCTGTATACACTGCTCTGTCTGGCATAACAGTATTTGCTGTGCTTTGAGATTTTTTTCTGAAACATGTGGGTCTGTGTCTTGATGGAGCTTAAAGATTTTAAGCGAAAGTGTGCCAAGATTTTTGTTTGACAAATATTTTTATATATGTATGCTAAAATCTGGTATTTATTCATAAAGATTTTGTATACATAAAAAGAAGAAGGAATTCAGAAAATTTGGCAAGATTTTTCTTGTATATATTTATATAGCTAAAGTTTAATAAATTCTATAGACCTAAAAAAATAATTTCTGCATTTAAATTGGAGACAAAAATCATGTACATAGATGTAAAAAAAATACTAACATTAAATTTGAGCATAAAATAAAATGCAATTGTATTGGCATACCTAAATATCAACTAATAATTAATTACAAAAAATATATACAATACATTTTACAAAATATATAAATAAATAAACATATAATAAAGTCAGCTATGAATATTATTTATTATATTATTTATGTTAATTTTTTTATATTTTAATCATTTATTTTTTTATAATTTTTTATTTATTTATTTTTGTTAGTTATTTATTTCTTACTTATCTATTTTTTTATACATTTTTTTACATTAAAATGATCATTATTTTATTATTTTTATATTTGGTTTTTACTATAATAGGTATTTAAAATATAATTAGATGAAATCTTGCTTTGGCAGCAAGTAATTTAGCAACTCATTAGGATTGTATTGGAGCCTTAAGCTCAGTTATGGCCCAACTTCAGCTGGCAGGCTCTTTAGGCCCACTGACTTCCAAGCAGAGTAGCTTGCAGTCAGCACAGCCCACTTAAGCTGCCATGCCTGGGCAGCTTTTACGATTGCCTGTCAAACTTCAGCTAGCTGGCGTAGCTGCGCTGCTCAGTCGACTCTTTAGGCTTCATCTGAGCTTGCTGCTGGGCTAATAGATGTTTACTTAACTGTATGTCTGTGTGTGTGTGTGTGTGTGTTTGTGTTTGTGTGTGTGCGCTTTGAGCTACCTCTCAGCCAAAACGTGGCTGCTGTCGAAATCGAAATGATTAATGGTCATTTGAGATTAGCTAAAAGTCGACACACACGCAGCCAAATAGAGAAAGCGAGACAGAGAGGGAGAGAGAGAGAGAGAGAGAGCGAGATGTGGGCGTGGTCATGCCACACAGTTAGGTAAGAGGCCCTTCACGTGTCTGTTGCCTTTGTTTGTTTGCTTGTCTATTTACAGTTAAGCAGCCAATTTGAACTTTGAACCTGGGATCAATCAATCTGCTATTATGTTTATTATTATTATTGTTGTTGTTGCTGCTGCTGCTGCTTATATTATTATTATTGTTGTTGTTGTTGTTGCTTATATTGCTTTCTTTACGTAATTGCTTTTTGATATATATTTTTTATTTTCGATTTAGCAACGGGTCTTAAGTTTGTATCTTATTTTCTTCTCCTTCTCCTCTTTTTTTTCTGTTGAAAAATTGCATCATCATCGTGTTGTCGTCGTCCGCTTTGATGGATTGACAAACATTTGCTGGCTAGGAGCAACGCACGACTGGCCAATATAATGCTGGCATATGTTAAAAGAAGTGCCTATGTGTGTGTGTATGTGTGTGTGTGTGTGTGTGCTGTTTGTGTTAGGCCTAACCTAGCCTAAGCTAGCCTTAGCCTAGCCTCAATCGCATTTGACTAATGGCGCCGTCTGGCTTTCACTCTGTTTTGAATTTCTGCAGGTCTCCTGGATACGCAAAAAGGATTATCATCTGCTCACGGTCGGCTTAACAACCTATAGCAGCGATGAGCGCTTCAGTGCGACACACTTAAAACATTCCGAGGTGAGTTTCACAACTAATTTGCATTTGTGGCCCCAACAGCTGGGCCTTGCCAACGGCACGCAACGCCCGTTGCATGCGAAATCAACAACGCGGCATAGACGTGACAGAAATCAAATGACGAAAACTGCAAAGAGAGTGCGACAGAGTGAGAGAGAGAGAAGGGAGAGAGAGAGGGAGAGAGGGAGCTCTGCACTAAAATACCTACTCACGCTTCTCACTTGTTCTTTGTTGCTGATGGTTTCTTGTTTTTGTTTTCTGTTTTTCTCTCGGTCTCTGCAGGATTGGACATTGCAAATCAAATTTGTGCAGCTACGTGATGCCGGCGTCTACGAGTGCCAAGTGTCCACACATCCGCCCACATCCATATTTTTGCACTTGAGTGTAGTCGGTAAGTAGAGCAAGCGAAAGAGTTGCACAGAAAGAGAGAGCGCCATGATATGGAAAGCAATCAAAAGAGAAATTCATTCATTTGCTGATAAGATTCTCTGCTCAATTGCATACAAGTGGCCATGCCTAGAGTTATACTAATATACCAAACAAAGTTTAGTTGAATGTAAGGAATCAGTTTGGATTGTGCTAATAAATAAAAATCCATTTGTAGCAGAGTTATAAAATAATAATCAAGGGAAAAATAGCTTAATAAACAAAACAAAAAAAATAATAAAATAAATATAGTTAAATAAATGAATAATTAAAAGCGTAAATAAAAATACAATAAGATTCATACTTCCATACTCTTCAAATATATACTCAGCAATCTCTGCCGTCTCTTTAAATCTCACTCGAAATAAAGTCAGCTAGATGAAACTCTTTCAGTGCATTCAACTTGAGCCACAATTATGGGCAGACTACACAAACTGGGCAGTGCTTAGACTCTAAGCTCAGCTGAATTCTAATGCATATAATATCGTATATCTCGACACAAAGGAAAATGCCGCTCAACAACTCATATAGAGAGAGTGAGAGAGAGAGAGAGAGAGAGAGAGAGAGAGAGAGAGAGAGAG